GCTAGGAGCTGGAACCAACTTCCAAGGGAAGTGGTGCTGGCCCCTACCCTGGGGGTCTTTAAGAAGAGGCTGGATGCCCACCTAGCTGGACTCGTTTGAGTCCCATTTCTCTTTTTGGGGTTTTTGTTGTTCTCCCGCCCTGGCGGGGGGTCGGGCTAGAAGATCTACTAGGTCCCTTCCGACCCTTAATCTATGAATCTATGAATCTATGAAACATTGTCACTTCCACCAGAACCAGGGCTTACAAGGTGGAATTTGTGGTTTAAACACAGTTCATTACCAGGCAAAGAATATTACGTTCTACTAGGGGTACAGGTTGTAGTTGTGTTGGTCTAAGGAGATAGGTAGACAAGGTTCTTTGGGTAGATTTGATATCTGTTATTAGACCAACTAAAAGAGTTGAAAAAAATCTTTGCAAGCTTGAAGTTCTACTACCAATTTGTGTGCAATGACCCCAAATCATACCTGGAACACAGCATATGCTTAAACTACACAATCTCTTAAAACAGGGCAACGTTGAAAATCAAGTTAAGTTTGCGGCTGAAAATACTACTCGGTTCATGGAGCTTCTGATGTGGTTTCAGTCAGCAAGCTTTGATTCACCAAGCACACAAGCGGATGGATATGATCAGTTGGGTCCAAGACATGGTATCACGACAACTTTCAAACTATCGAAGTGAAAACCAGTGGAGACAAGAACAGTTCTAGGCAATAATTGCAACGTTAAATCAGTATTACAAATATCACCAGTTGCTATCGCCTCAGTTTAGACAACTGGCTGCCTTTTTTAGTGCTGTTTGTATTTTTGACCCAGACCTCGTGCCTTCTCAGTTTTGACCCTCAGCTACTTAAATCAATCTCTGGTTGGCAGAAAGAACCTGACAACTAATGTACTGCTTATATGAACTTTGTCAAAGAATGTCAGATGCCTTTGACTGTGAATGCGTTTTGGGATGCGGTTTCCACATCGCCACAACTTCCTTATAATTCCAACCAATTTAGTGGACGATGAATGTGCAATCTCACTGTACGGATACATGTTCACACAACAGACATGGGGGATGTCAGCTGCAACTGCTGGTGGATGCTGCACACTAGCATTTAGCAACCAACGTGAATTGTTTCTATCCAGGTTAGCATTATGTAGCATTTTAAAACTTTTTGTAGAACACTAATAATAAATTCTGATTATATCCATGTATATACATATTATGTATATATAATATACATGAATTTAATACTTAGATTTAAGATTGATTATAATACAGTGATTTATATAATATTTCCTTGGAATCTATTTAATTATGCATTTTCTGCCTCTTGGCCAATCAGCAGCAATGGATGAGGCCACCAGGACCCCTCTGTTAATCAATGGTGAGGGACAGGGCTACCAGGAAATTGACTGTGCACCATAAGCAGGCCATGAAAATCCCTTTTTCTCACTGTGATTTCAGGAGGTCCCTACTGATAAAGGTTAGGACATTTCAATCATAGCTAGTCTATACAAAACAGCCAGGCTGGGACAATTCTGCTTCGTATTCCCAAATACATAAATGGTAAAGACATCTCCATGCTACAGGCACTATTACTAACATGCCAGTATCCAAGAAGCCCAAAAGGAAATTCCCCTAAGTTGTCACATGCTAGGTGGACCTTTATGCATCATTGCCTGCCACACAGCAGCACGTTCTCAGCAAATGCTCAAATCTACCTTGGTGGCACATTGCTCAAAGTCAGAATACACTGCACATCTAACTTTAGCAGCAAATAACTTCGGAAATAATGCCTTCCTGAAAGGGAAGAAAATGGCAAATGATCACCATATTGAAACCTGACTACACAATAACAGTTTGGAATGAATCAGTGCAATAACCTGAGCTCCAGATGTGCACTAAAAACAAAAGCCACACAAGCTGGAAGTACCATGAAGCATTAAGAACAAACTATGGCAAACCAGGTCAGGCCAATGGTCCATCTATAGCCCAGTATCTCATCACTAACAGCAGCAAGAGTGAATGCTTATAAACAGTGATTCTCAACCAGGATGCTGAAGCACTCTAGGGCAGGGTTGTCAGCCGGGGGTGTGTGTACCCCTGGGGGTACTTGAGAAGGCCTTAGGGGGGTATGTGTGGGTGGCCTGGGATGAAGCGCCACCATGCATCATTTTGTGCAGTCGCTGCCTGCCTGGCTGGGAGCAGCACAAAGTTGCATGCGGTGATTGCTGCTGCTCCACATTCAGCGACACACCACCCCCACTGCCCTCCTGCTTGGCTTCCAGCTGCTGGGGGTACACTGATCCAAAAAAAAAGGTTGAAAACACCTGCACTAGGGTGCTGGTGAGCAGAGGTATGAGGACAAGTGTGAGGCTCAAGACTTGTCCCTGCCTGGATGATCTCCCCACTACTATGGCCAGGCACCTCTTCAAGGAGGCAAGCACTGTAACATGAGATTAATTTCTGAAATGGTGTGCTATACTATTCACAAACATTTTGGATGGAGGAGCCTTGATTCCAAAAGTTGAGAACCACTGCTTTAGAGGCAGAACAGGGCATATCTAAAGCAGTGGTCCTTGACCTTTTTAACTTCAAGGTCCCTTCCACAACTTACAGAGTTGAATAGCACCCCCTTTATTATGGCACTTATGTCCTCCCAGAGGCACCAAGCAATGGGAGCAGGGCAGCAGCCAGGTGGGGAGAGCCTGAGTTTGCCCACATCTGCTTATCCCTTCACCCTCCAAAGGCTCTCACAGCACCCCAGCTGAGAGCCACGGATCTAGAGCGATCAACTCATTACCCTCCCTGGCACCCACTGTGCTCGCTTTAGAGACCCCACAGAGCCCCTTAAATTGATGGCACGATATCAAGGGGAATGCATTCTCCACACTTTCAGGAAGGCAGTATTTCAGCAATGCTCTTGAAGCCCTGCCATCAATTTAAGGGGCATCATGGCCTATATGACTCATTAACCCAATGGAGATCTGCCCCGCCATCACCTAGTGTCACTCCCAGCGTGCAGCCTTGCAGACTGCAATGTGCCCCTCCCACCGCTGTGCCACTCTCCGGCCAGCCCAGAAGAAGGCACATCTCAGAGCCAACTGGAGCACCTCAATGTGTGCGCACACTGGGGTGAACGACTGGTCCCCTAGGCACCAGCCCTTCACTTCCTCGGAACCACCTGCTGCAGCTCCTGCGCACAGCACAGCGAGGGGCACCCACAGGGTCTGCTTAACGCCCCAGAACTGGCATAGCCCAGCGCACGCGCGCACGGGGAGCACGTTCTACAGGTGCCAATGCTCGACCCGCTCAGCGCCCACTGGAGCAGCCGCGCGCATGCGCCCCCCACCCCGTGCCGGACCCGCGGCACGTGCAGGTGCGCTGCGCCCCTCACCTCTCCACCAGTACTGCTGCGAGAGGCCCTGCCAGGTCTGCAGGCGCGTGCGGTGGGCGCCGTCGGGGCCGAGGTGGGCGGCACGGATGAGGCGTTCGCGGCGCTCGGCCTGCAGCACCACCTCGAGCTCGGCGAAGCGCGGCTGGTCCCGCCGCCGCCGCTGGTAGTACAGGGTCCCTCCGCGCACCACGTAGCACGCGGCCGCCTTGCGGATCTTGCGCTTGGCGTTGCCCTCCGTGCCTGGCGCGTACGGCTCGCGCTCGTTGGTCAGGTAGCGCAGGATGGCCAGGTAGC